AATGGCAAGCACTTATCCGCTGACCTGGAGATAAACCGATGCAGAGCTGCCACCCTTCCAGTCAACCTCTGTATATCTTTCACTAACTTCGGGGGTTCCATCTCGGCAATTGCTCTGATCTTCTCTGGATTGACCTCAATTCCTTTTCGGGACACCATGAAACCTAGAAACTTTCCAGACTCCACTCCGAAGATGCACTTGGCTGGGTTTAACCGCATCCGGTTCTTTCTGAGGTTGTTAAAGGTTTCTTCGAGGTCGGCTAGATGGTTTTCTGCTTTCAGACTCTTTACTACGATGTCATCCACGTACACCTCCAGATTCTTGCCGATCTGAGCTCGGAAGACTATGGTCACCATTTTCTGGTAAGTAGCACCTGCATTCTTTAAGCCGAACGGCATCATGACATAACAATAAATTTCATCGCCAGCATAGAACGAGGTTTTCTCTTCATCTTCGGGAGCCATTGGCACCTGGTGATACCCAGAATATGCATCCAAGAGGCTCAACCTCTCATTGCCTGAAGCCGCTTCAACTAATTTGTCAATACTCGGCATCGGATAACAATCCTTGGGGTAGGCGTGGTTAAGGTTTGTATAATCAATGCACATTCGCCATTTACCATTTGCCTTCTTCACCATAACTGGGTTAGCCACCCATTCACAGTAATCAACTTTCCTGACAAAACCAGCCTGTAGGAGCTTCTTCACCTCTTCTTTGATAGCCTGAAGCCTCTCCCCCCCGAAGAGACGTCGCTTCTGGGCTACTGGTTTCTTCAATGGGTTGGTACTGAGCTTATGTTGGCATACTGAAGTTGGAATTCCTGGCATATCTGCCGAAGTCCATGCAAATACATCATTGTTAGCTCGGAGAAAAGCTATCAGTTCTGCTCTCTCCTCCGGGTTCAATCTAGTTCCGATCTGCGTCTTTCGGCTCGGATCTCTGTCATCAACGAGCACTTCTTCGACATCTTCGACCGGAGCAGCTCTGGTTTCATCATCCGGTCGATTATCTACAATCTCTACACCTATAACCTGCTGATGATCAGGAATTCGCTGGGGAATGACCTCGGGTGTCTTATCTTTGCCCTTCGTTGGTTGTGTTACCGAGGTGATATAATAGTGTCTGGCCACCTCCTGGTTTCCTCGCAGTGTTGCCATTCCCATAGGAGTGGGGAATTTCATGCAGAGGTGGGATTGGGAAACCACAGCTCGGATTTAAGTCAATGTGGGTCGGCCAATAACAATGTTGAAAGAGGAGGGCATCTTGACGACGAGGAACCGGACTGAAGGGGTTACATAGGTCTGGCCACTCCCAAAAGCCACATGGATGGTAAGAGCTCTTTCTACCGGAACAGGTTGGTTGTTGAAACCATAGATAGGACCATCATATTTCTGCAACAATGCTGGATCTAGCCCCAGACTCTCGAAACAGTGGAAGTACATGATGTCTGGTGCACTCCCGGTGTCAACAAGGACACGTTGTACTTCACAGTTATTGATCATGACAGAAGTGACCAGAGGATCATTGTGGGGTGTAACAACTGTGTCAAGGTCAGCAGATGTGAAAGTAATGGGTTGATTCTTCCACTCAGCATCGTCAATCTTCCGCTTCTGAGCTCAGTTTTGATGCTTAACTTCTCTGACATACAGCTTTCGCTGTTTAGAGCTCAGTCCTCCTGCTTCAAGGCCTCCCGTAATCATATGTATGATTCTAGCCGGTGGTGGGAGCGGAGGTGGGGCTTGCTGATATCCCACACCTTGTCTATTTGGGGGATTGCGGACTCCTTGAGGCTGCGGCCTTTGCTCTCTAACAAACCTTGGCTGTTCAGCTCTCTGAACATATTCATTCAGCATTCCCTTCTGAGCTAAATTTTCCAGTTCGGACTTTAAACTGTTACACTGCTCCGTAGTATGGCCATGATCTTGGTGGTAATCACAATATCTGGTATGGTCTCGACTAGCAGCAGCAGTTCGCATTGGGCCAGGACGTCTCAAGTCCATTTTGTTCTTAATCTGCATAAAAATTTGCGACCTCGGCAGGTTAAATGGAATCCAATTAACTGGAGGTTTACCTGCAGATTGCTGCGGGGGTGTGGAGTTCGGCCTTCCGAATCGCGGTGGGGAGGTCAACATCGGACCTCTGTTCTGCGCCACCCTCATCCTTTTCCTGCTCGGATTGTCATCTCTCCAATCTGGGTTCTGGTTCTTAGAGGGAGGTGGGTTTTGCGCCAGGGCGTACTCCTCAGCGGTTATAAACTTGAGAGACCGATCATTCACCTCGCTAAAGGTGGTGGCAGCATGTTTGATCAAACTGTCTCGGAATCTGTCATGCTTGAGACCAGAGATTACAGCTGCAATTCCCACAGCTTGATCAAAAGAACTAACCTCTAAAACTGCATCATTAAACCGGCTCATATAGTTCTTCAGAGACTCTCCATCCCTCTGCTTAACTCTCATCAACTCAGAAGTAGTTTTCCTAATCAACCTTCTACTGGAAAACTTAGTGGCAAAGGCAGATGCCATTTCTGTATACGAGCTAATTGACCTCGGAGGTAAACTGTAATACCAAGTTCGGGCATTACCTCGGAGAGTAGAGGGGAAGATCTTGCACATCAACGCGTCAGAGGCGTTCTGAGCTTGCATGCAGGAGTAAAAAGCATGTAGATGGTCATCGGGATCCTTCGTCCCGTCATAAGTCTTCAGTTGTGGGATTTTGAATCCAGCAGGATAGGGTTCCAGTGTAATGTTGGTATTCAGAGGATGAGGTATAGAATCAGTAGCATGGTGTGGGGGTGGAGCACCTCGGTGTTCTGCTACTAGCTTTTCCAAGCTATCGAGGCGGCGAGTAACATCATCAGGGATAGGTTGTTGAGCGGGTGCAATGTGGGATTGAGCCTGAGATTCGCTGATAGCGGGAGCAGGTTGAACCGGTTGAGGATTCTGTTGTGGAGCTGGGGGTTGTTGAGCAGGGTTTAGTAAATTAATGAGGGGATCACCAGGATTATTTCTAGCTAAAAGCTAAGCCAGTACCAACTGAAAAACACCAAACTGCTGCTGCATGGCAGCAAGCTGAGCTGCCACTACGTCTTGATTGGCAGTGGAAGTTGAATTATGAGCTGAGGCATGAGGTTGATTTTCATCTCCTCCTTCTGCATGATCAATAGGAGGGAACATAACTGGGACCTGAGGTGGGAGCTGAGTTGGGAGCTGAGGTGGGAGCTGAGGTGGGATCAGAGGTGGAAGGTTGTTGGGGGGTTGACCCTGCCCATGAGGCAGAGATGAATTACCAGCTCTGACTGATCGGGTGTGGACCATGATGAAAGAGCAACTAGAAAGCTTTCAGTTCGGTTCCCACAGATGGCGCCAATGTAATTGCAACGAACCAGAAGTCCTTCTACAGTCCGCAACTGCACTTCGGAATAACCTGCAAAGCCCCGAGGTGGACCTCGGGGTAAACACTCCGATGCTTAAGTCAGCAATAATCGGGGTTACCTCTAGAGCGGAGATAAAAGATGCTTAGGGTAGGTTTCAATTACCTTTTGACGTGGCCCGGAGGGGGTATTTATAGGATTCAATGAGAAACCCACGTGGCATGCCAAGCAAGATAGTCGGAGCCTGACGTGTCTATCCAAACGATTATTCCGGGACCGGGAATTTGAGAGGTATTCAGATGCACGGGCGTCCATCGTTCCTGCTGTGCCGCTCATCATAAGGAATCAGGTGTGGACATGCTTATTGTCATTATCATGCAGCTATTTGAGCGGGAAGCTTCGGATTCATTCCTCACTTCGGTCATAAAGAAATTACTGTAGCAGTCCGAGGTTTAGCACCTCGGCCCTGTCCTTACAGATAGTACACTCTGATTGGACAAATACATGTACTCTCCACTCATTCTCTCTCATCACACACACTCTCTTCTTTTCTTGCAGACTCAGTCCTTCGTCGAGCTCTTCATTCACATACACAGAAGAAACAGTTTTCTCTCCATGGATCCATATCTTATGTTGAGCGTTGGAGTGCCAAGTTGGAGACCAACTCCAATCTCCAGCTAAAGTTCTAACGCTTTCCTGTTTTGCGGGTTTCCAGCGTCTACGTGACAAAACAATAAGACTCTCAAGTGAACGGAAGTTACCTCCAACAACTGCTGCCCTATCCTGTAAACACTCAGCCACCGCAGGCTGCCGATCCAAATCAACATCATATATATATGTCCAATTATTACATGCAGAAAAGTCATTTCCTGCATTATGATTTCAACGAAGACCGGTGCCTTAGGATCAACGAGGTGATGGCAGCATTCGCAGCCCTGGGTGCACGTTCCCCTGGGCCGAGAGCCAGGTTGGTGCTAGAGGAAGTTGATGTGAATGGTGATGGTAGCATAACTGCATAAGCATAAGGACTCTGGATGAGTTGAACGTCCTCATTGGCTACACTATAAATTTGTTGAAGTCCATGTTATAATATACAATCAGAAAAATATAAGTACTTCTTGGAATAAAGTCAACTACAGAGAGCTAAGTTAGCTCTAAATTGAATCAACTGACTTTCACCGTCTTCTGCTAAATACGGGCCGAACCAAAAAGGCGTAAATGTTGAGCAACATGTTAAACATTCGTGTGCTTTTAATTAAGGGGGTCAAGTAAGGAATTTGATTCAACAGAATGCATTGGAATCCTCTTTTCTTAATTACTCAAAATGATCACTTCATTTAGAAGCTCTGTATAAAACACCTGTTGCCTCTCTCTCTATATGCTTACAAGCCAAACGCTTCAATTTGTAGCCATGAGTCCATGACTGGTGTTCAGATTAATCCCAATAGTGAAGGCAGCTATCCTCTCACACCTCCTGCGGAGCAGCTCCCTTTGCGCAACACAAAAACAGCAGGAGTAGCAAGTTTTATGATATCTTCTCAATACTACTGCAAGAGCATTGCTTTTTTACTTTTAAAAAAATGGAAATTGGGGAATGGGGTATAAGTTGGGAGTGGAACTGTAGAGCCATAACTGATGTTATGGACTAAATGCACCTTAACTAGGGCAGCAAAAGCTGCAAGTGCTGCCATTGTTTATAATATAAGGGATTAATCAGATCCTAATTGCAGTTTTCTTTTAGAAATCTCTCAAAACTTTGGTAATGAAATAATATAGTTAAAATTTTTTTTTTGAATAAATTTGCAAGGAGTTGGAATCGAACCGTTGCCCTAGGGAGGAGGAATGCACTTGTACGTGGCATGACGCAACTGGGCCAAAGGCCCAAGTGCAATATAGTTAAAAATTTTGTTAAAAGTATTTGGATAATTAAAATGCAGTTCTTCACCTCTACGTAGGGGTGTTTATATCCGATCCAATCCGATTGATCCGATTTAAACTGATCCAATCCGATTAAAAATCAAACCAAATCGATATAAAATTGGGTTGGTTTGAATTATAAAAATTTAAAACCGATATAATTGGTTTGGTTTGTGATGTTACTTTCAAACTGTCCGAACCGCCCAATTATAAAAAAAAATTCGATTATAAAATAACTTAATTAAATAATATAATATTTTTATAATATTTCAAATTTTCTTT